CTGAAACTTAAGAGTACTCAAAACTTAATATATGGTTGTAGGCCATTTCGCAAAAAAAGATGGCTCAATGGCTACCTTTTAGGAAAAGGATCAGATCTATTATTAAAGTTCATCGGAAGTACTAAGCATCTCAAACATATAAAAATTACATCGAGATTCCGATACCGCCAAACGATCACTACTGCAGCTAGAACGAGCCAACGACACTGTGGCGGGGGACCGCCTCTCTCCCGCGTCATAGGGGTGGTGCGGGGCCCATCAACGTGGGGAGGCGCGACCGATCGGGCCTTGGCGGCACGGCAACGACGGCTGCGGTTGGCGGTGGCGGACGGTTATGTGGTGGCGGGTCTTCTAACCTTTGATCGGCGGCGGCAGCGTGGAGGCCCTTGTGGACAGGTCGGCGGATGCGTGGTCTAGCCTCCGATCAGATCAGATATGGACGATGCATCGTGCGTGTTGCGCGGCGCCAAAGGTCGGTGACGGCCCATGCACACATTGCTAGATGGAAGTTCGTCGAGAAGATCCAGGTGAAAACCTTGCTCTTGACTAGGTGCCAAGGCCGGCGATGGTGGCGCTCTTTTGTGTCGTCCACTTCTCGAAGGCATCGCCGTGGAGAAGCTACAGACTTCTATCCTCTACCTCCGAAACCCTAGCTAAGTAGATCGTATGATGATGGTGCTCTGGTGTCGTTCCCCCCTTGGGGGCGTCATTCTTGGAGGTGTGCATTGTCTCGAGGGACCAGTGGAGATTTTTGCGATGGAGTGGCATTTCAGGTGACGCGTCAACAATGTGGAGTCTTGGTGGCATGGCGCAATAATGTCACGATGACGGATGTGGGATGATGGTCGCGTATAGGGAGGTGGCGTCGTCTGGTGCTGTGGTGGTGTCAACGGTAGCCCTAGCAATGTCGATGCGGCATTGCCTACTCTAAAGATGGATCGATGGAAGATGGTGGCAACGACCTCTGTAGCGTGCACATGCAGTGCATGCTGAGAGTGCGCCGAACCGATGTGTGACGTAGACCCGACCATTTGGCTTGGTTAGGGCCTCCGGATTTAGATGTTAGGCTTTGGTGTGAGATCTGGGTATGCAGCCCTGACAATCTGCACCCCTTTATCAAGTGGATAGGAGTAGCGCTAGATGTTGCCAATATGGTGGCCTTTAAATTATTGAAGTATTACGTTGTAAGGTCTTGATGAATAATTAATAAAATGGTTGCATGCATCGCCCTGATGCAAAGGCTAGGAGTCATCCTCCTTTTCGTTGAAAAAAAAACATGCTCTCAGCGGTCAGCGATCCCGGGTTTTAGCTGCCACGTCAACAATCCTTGTTTGGGAACAAGCTCAAGGTTTAAAATAGAGCGGGGTCAAAGAGTTTGGAGTGTTGATTTCAGGGATTCAAAGTTCAGAGATCGATTTAGTTTTGGTCAACAAGTTCATGGTTTATTTTAGACTTTCCCATTAAGAGATGTCTAGTTCCAGATAAACAAATAAAACAAAAACACTTCTCCATGACAAGTTGAAAGTTTGCCGGCACCCGAGAATTTGGGTAGCCATGGTTTGTGAAAATAAAAGTGGGTAGAAGTGTTAAGCATGGGAACCTTTATCAAAACTCTAAACAGGTGTTAACATGGAAGATAACAATGACTTCTAAGAAATATTAAGAACAGTAAATATCATGTAATGATTCAACCAATGCAGGGAAGAGGCATGCCAGACGACACATCACTACCTCGAGGTTGCAATTTCAAGTAGTTCGCTTACTTTTCGGGCTATAGTTTGCTTAACTTCTGATTGTAGTTTCAAGTGGTTCACTTAACTTCTCCATTCGACTGACTGTAGTTTTAAATTTTGACCAAATTTTAGGACGAGAGAATCATTTTGACGATATTTGAGGAAAAATATCTTTCAAATAGTTTGCTTAGCCTCCAGGCTGCCGTTGGTCTCTGCACCAATTGACACATGTCATCAAGTATCATCAGAGTATGCATCACGCAACAGTATAAGAGTTGACCATGGCAACGGCATGAGTAACAATAATTGGTACTCACGAATCCCGCATCACCCCCGCTAGGGCGACTCGGGCGGTGCCCAAACCCTAGGCGGGGAGGGGGTGACCTTCCTCCTTTCCTCCCTCCGCCCCCGCCGGGAGACGCCGTTGGCTAAGCCTGGGGGCCGATGGCGGTGGCGGGGGACTCCCTCTCTCCCACGTCAGAGGGGTGGTGCGAAGCCCCTCGACGTGAGGAGGCGCGACCAGTCGGGCTTTGGCGGTGCAGCGGCGATGGATGCGGTCGGCGGTGGTGCGGCAGCCAGCCCTCTCTCGGGCGGCGGCGTCGAGGGCCTAGTAGATAGGTCGGCGGCATGTGTGGTCTGGCCTCCGGTCAGATCTGATCTAGTTGGTGCGCCCTGCGTGTTGCGCGGCGGCAGAGATCGGCGGCGACCCGTGCACACATTGCTAGATGGAAGTTCGCTGAACAGATCCGGGTGAAAACTTTGCTCTTGGCTAGTTGTCAAGGCCGGTGATGGTGGTGCTCTTCTGTGTCATCCACTTCTTGAAGGCGTCGCCATGGAGAAGCTCCAGACTTCTATCCTCTATCTCCGGGGAAATCGCTAAATCAGTTGATCGGATGACGACAGTGCTCTTGTGTTGTTCCCCCCTGGGTGCGTCATTCTTTGAGGTGTGCATTCTCTCGAGGGACCAGTGGACGGTTTATACGATGGAGTGGCGTTTCAGGTGACGCATCGACAATGTGGAATCTCGGCGGCATGGTACAACAGGTTCTCGATGACAGACGTGGGATGGTGGACGCGCATAGCGAGGTGGCGCCGTGTGGCGCTGTGGTGGTGTCAACGGCAGGCCTAGCAAGATCAATGCGTCAGTACCTGCTCTGAAGATGGATCGCTGGAAGACGATGGTGACGGCCTCTGCAGCATGCGCATGCGGTGCATGCTGAGAGTGCGCCGGACCTGTGTGTGACCTGGACCTGGCAATTCGGCTTGGTTGGGGCCTCCCGGTTTATATGTTAGGCTTTGGTGTGAGAACTGGGCATGTGGCCTGGATAATCTGCTCCCCTTTATCAATTGAATAGGAGTAGCGAAAGATGTTGCCAAGACGATGACTTCAGATTTATTGATGTATTATTTTGTAAGGTCTTGATGAATAATTAAAATGAATGCATGCGTCGCCCTGAAGCAGAGGCATGGGATCATCCTCCTTTTTTTATGAAAAACAAAGCATGCTCTTGAAATTAACCAATGGACTGGACGCAGACTGGCAGACGACACAAACAAATCATCCATTACAACATTCTAGAAGAGTAATCACATTTTTATTTGCTAG